GCTTCGCCGTGGCGTGTGCGAATTGAGATTTCCCCGATGGCCAGCGACTCACCGGGGTCCTCAGCCAGAGCGCGCTGGACCCGCAGCACATGGGCAGGGTGACGGACATGCTGAAGGCAGCCGCCGCACTCGATAGGGGCAGGGCTGCGGGCCGTAGGAGGAATGGGGTTCCGCGGCCAACGGCGGGCGCGCCCCCAGCCGCAGGATCAAGCAACCAAGGAGAGGAGGATAGCGTCCAGCCGCCCCCCTAGCGGCGCGGACCAGGGCAAGGTGAGGCTTAACCCGAGCCCGACGACCCTCGCTGTCGGGCGTGGGTCAATGCTGCGAGGATGTGAGAAGGAACAAGGTGCACCACATCACCAGCTATTACCACTGGGAGCATGCGCGGCAAACGACGTGCCGCAGAGAGCCCCCAAGACGCTCTCGGGTGCAAGCGGGTGGCTGGCGCGGGGGCAGCCAACCCGCGGCTCACGGTCGGGAGTTTCTGCTTCACGGTGCGGCGGGGGCGGCCGACATGCTGCGCCCTGCATGGCGGAGAGCGTGCCGCTTCGCTCCGCGGGGCGGGAAGCCAGAAACTGCTCGGGACGTTGACGCTTCAAGATGGGGATGCGGTTGGCGTGTCGCGCCGAAGCGTGGTGGGCCAAACCCGTCGGCGCGACACTTTTGGTCAACAGGCTCGCGAGGCGGGTCGAAAGCCGTCCGAACACTAGTCGGGCCGCGAGTAGGCAGCAGAAAAAGAAAGGCAAGCGAAGCGAGCGAGCGGGCAGCCACTCAGAAGGAGAGCCAGAAACGATACTCCCAAACTCGGTGGCGTTGGACATCCCGGTGGCGACCAGCAAAAAAACGCAGCCAAAATGGCGCGGCGGCGCGACCATAACCACACAGAGGTCGATCGCTCGGTGTGAGTCAGGCAAACAACACCGTCAAAGACGAACTAGACCGACAGGCACACCCAGACGACATCCGTGAAGTAGGCGAGTCGGCACAAGAGTGAAGAGGGGCAACCTCATCACCGACAAGACTGCAAACAGCAGTAAAACCTGTGACACTTGTCGAAAGCGAAGTCCATGCAGGAGAGCGTCGGCCAACGAGCGTGCAGAGCCACACTTGCCGCACCCGAGGTCCAGGTACCGTAAGGTAGGCACTGTAGCGAGAGACCCACTGGAACCTTCCGGTCATCAGTAGGGGGCCGACGCCAGCCAGGAGCAGGCCAGGGGGCACCTGACCTCAGCGAGTGCGACGCAGCACCATTCCCTGCGTGAGCCCTTACAGGAACTCCAGACCACCTGAACGCCATCAGGAAACAGTCTTGGGCAACAGACCCCAGCCGCCAGGGAAGAACCCTGCGAAACAGGAGGGACAGCACCCCGGTGCAACAGCTAACCGCTGTGGCATAAGGATGCAGGAGGAGAGGAGGGGAAGTCCACGCCAGGCACGGTAGGCACCCCGGTGTGGCAGCTAGCCGCTGGAGCATTAGGATGCAGGACGGGAGGGAAGGAAATGCACGCCAGGCACACGGTGTGAGAGGAGGGGGAAGAAACATAGACTCGAGCAGTTGATGCTGACTGTGCCAATCGTGGCTGTGCGATTTTGTCCGCGCTGGTTATGCCAAACCTGACTGTGCCAGCCGTGGCTACGCCAACCCTGGCTGTGCCAAATAAGCTCCTGTGGAAAGTGAGCGCTCGTAACGACACTTGCCGAACTCGAAATCCTTGCACCGTAACTGTCAGCAGTGTATCAGAATCCCGCTGAACCCTTTCGGCCATCAGCAAAGGGGTGGTACCGGCCTCAGGCAGCCAGTGGGCACCTCGCCGCCCACCCCCAATGTGAAACTTTGCGTGAGATCCAAGCTGACGGAGCACCATCCGGCAGCGGTATTGGCGGCAACCCCAGCCGCGAGGGAAGATCCCAGTGAAACAGGAGAGGGAAAGTCAGCTAACCGCTGAAGCAAGAGGAAAATAATGATGAGAGGTCGCCATCACCCTGTGTACACAGACGCGCACGCCAGGCGCTCTGTATCGTAGCTTACCTCAGTAAACCCGCCACTGGCACCAACTTGCCGTTGTTCTTCACACGAAGTCCTGGGTAGTTCTTCTGCATGCTTCCCCAACTCCCTGATTCGCTTCTGGTGTGCTGATTCTCTGGTAGGGTGCCAGACGCCGTCGACACGGGGGTGGAGGCAGACGGCCGCGCCTTCGACGTCAAGGGCCCGACCTCGCCCGAGAGCAATCCTACCCTACAGCGAGCGGCCAGTGTCGGACGTGGTGTACCAGGTGTTGTCCACGCACCTGCGCCCTGTCGATACCCAGGTCCAATGAGTCGCTCATGGCCCGAGCATCGCAGCTGTGGCTGCGAAGTGAGGTCAGGAAGGCGACGCAGGTTCGCTAGTCGTGCCGACGCGGATCGAAAGCGCGCGTGGTGCCAGGGGCAGCGTGTTGCTCGGCAAAGGCGTGCCAGACGGCTGTGAACGACGCACCCAGGGTGACCTGAAGGTGCCTGATCGTCTCGTTTGGTGACTCTCCGCGGGTTCCCACTGGGAGTCGTGGACCCGGCCTTTATAGAGCGGCCTTCCAGTGTGGGAGTCCCGTGGTCCTGGATGCTGGCGATCGGCGAACAACCTGGGCATCCACCCACTTCCCGTCCGACGCGTCGAGGATGCCTTCCGGTTGGGTTGCTGGCCCGACTCGGCTGGCCGTGAGACCGGCCGTGGGGCTGGCAGTCGGGCAGGACGTGGTGCTGGCAGGCGGGCTGGCCGTCGGGCTGGCCGTGAGGCTGGCAGTCGGGTTGGCCGTGGGGCAGGCAGTGGGGCTGGCAGCCGGGCTGGCCGCGGGGCTGGCCGTGGGGCAAGCAGCGGGGCTGGCAGCCAGGCTGGCCACGGGGCTGGCCGTCGGGCTGGCCGTGAGGCTGGCCAGGCTGGCAGTGGGACTGACCGTGGTGCTGGCAGTCGGGCGGGCCGTCGGGCTGGCCGTGGGGCTGGCCGTAGTGCGGGCGGCAGGGCCGGCCGTGGGGCAGGCCAACGGGCTGGCCGTCCGGCGAGCCGAGGAGCTGGCAGCGGGGCAGGCCGTGGGGCTGGCAGTCGGGCAGCACGGGGAGCTGGCCGCCAGGCTGGCCGCGGGGCTGGCCGTGGGGCTGGCAGTCAGGCTGGCCGGGGGGCGGGCCGTCAGGCTGGCCGCGGGGCGGGCCGAGGGGCGGGCCGCGAGCCGCAGCGGCGGCGCCGGACACCGCGCCAACCGCCGCCGCCGCCGCCAGCGAGGCGCCGGCAGCGGCGGCGGCAGCGGCAGCAGCAGCGGCCGCCGCGAGGGAAGTGAACGACCTCTTCCAAACGGGAGGCGGCCCGCGCGGGCGCGCCTGCCGCTCCCCCCCCCGCGGAGAGGTAGGTCGCCCGCGCTGCGGGGGCTGAGGGCCCGGGCGCGCGCCTAGTGCGCGCGGCCGGCCCGACGCTGTCGCTGCGTATGAAATGAAATGGAAAAAAAACGGCCGAGAAGCCGGCCACGGGCGCCGCCGCCGCCGCCGCCGCCGCCGCCGCCGCCGGCGGAGGCCAGCGGCGGCGGGCAGCAGCGGTGGCGGCGCGCGGCGGCGGCGGCAGCGCGGCGGCGGTGGCCGCGGCGCCGGCGGCCGCGGGGGCGGCGGCGGCGGCGCCGGCCACTGCGCCCTCCGCCGCCGCCGCCGCTGGCGGGGAGCCGGCAGCGGCGGCAGCAGCGGCGGCGGCGACGGCGGCGGCAACGGCGGCGGCCGCGGCGGCGCGGCCGCGGGGGCGGCCGCGGCGGCGCCGGCCACCGCGCCCTCCGCCGCCGCCGCCGCCGCCGGCGAGGCCGCAGCGGCGGCGGCAGCGGCAGCAGCGGGCAAGCGGCCAGCGCGGCGCCAGCCGCGCCCGCGGCGCCACTGGCGCCGGCGGCGCAGGCGGCGCCCGCGGGGGCCGAGCTGGGGCGGCCGCCGGCCGCCTCCGACGGCGGCGGCGGCGGCGAAGGCGAAAGCGACGGTGGCGCCGCCAAACCCCGGCGGGGCGTCCCGCCGTGCCGCCACCAGCCGCTGACGGCGGCGCAGCGCGGCCCCGGAGAGGGCCGCCCGGGGGCGGACATGGCCCCCTCACCCCCCCTCGGGGGCCCACGGGGGGGTGCCAGGGGACTGTTGAGAGACGAAAGCGGGGCCATGAAATCTGGAGAATTTCATGGCCCCGGCCATGGTTTGCACGCCCCCCCTGGTCTCGGGCGCACACTAGCACGGAGTGCAGACCCGTGGATCATCTGGCGCGCGGGCGCCGATCCAGGGCTCGGGGAACGGAGCCCCCGAAAAATTACGCCAGTGCTGCCCCAGTTTTGCGACGGAGCGCGCGGGCTCTGCACGGACACGGGGCCCGTCGCTGATCCGTGCGCCTTGATCCATGGACACGGGGCCTTTCTCCTCCTCCCTCCTCCCCCCTCCTCCCCCCTCCCCCCTCCTTCTCCCCCCTCCTCCCCCTCCCCCCCCTCCTCCCCCTCGTCCTCCCTCCTCCACCTCCCTCCTCCCTCCTCCCTTCCTCCCCCTCCCTACTCCCTCCTGCCCCTCGTCCTCGATGCAACCAACCCGTATCATAAGGACGCGCGGTAAGGATACAATGGCCTAAGAGGGCCATGCTGAAGTTTTCGAAGGAGGTTGGCCAGCGAAAGTCGCTAAGGATGGGCCGCATGGGCAAGGATGCCAGAGTACCCTTGGGAAGGGTGCCCATCCTTACTGTGCGCGTTGACTGTAATGATCACTCCCCTCTGGGCCGCCACCCCCCTCCCCGCCCCCGTGGACCACTGAGCGCCTCCCCAGACCTCGTCAAGGGCCCGAGGACTCCTGCTGCCCGTCGACTCGCGCTGGAGCTTCTATACGATTTTGCTCGGCTGTCCATGGACATTGGATTACCTAGACTTATCCAGGATCTACCTCAAGCAACTCGGATCTCCGCAAATCGATTGGCGAAGAGTAGTCAAGCACTTGCGGTCGGGAACTCTTGCTCAACGAGTTGCGGCGGTGGCCCTGGCGACGCGCTATGACCTGCAAGCGGATATCGTGTCGCTCCGCTTCGCGGGGCGGGAGGCTCAGAAAAGCTTGAACACGGACGCCTGGGGACTGGGACGTGGACGG